ATGTTATTGTGATGGTTTTAGTATACTGAAAAAAAAGTGATAAAGTTATTCCTGATATAAAAGCATTTCTGAGATTTATAATGATAAAAACACTTTGCTAGGATTTCAACTGGTAACAAGCATGCCCTGATTAACAAAATTAATTTCCTGCGTGATCAAAACACAGAGTGTCCTTTGTAATAGGACTCTCAAATACTCAGCTCTTAAGTATATATATATAGGCTTAAGTATTTAACCACATAAATGCTACTCTGATCAACTTAATTCTGGCAAGGAATAGCTCTCAGTTTTATTTCTTAAGAAACTGACCAACTGCAAAGATATACCGTGACAAGCTCAGATGTGCATCCTTTTAGAATGAGACAGCTAAGTATGCACTTCTATAAAATATACATATAACTAGTATTCTAAATCTACATGCTGCATAGGAGCATCTGACCACCTCATTGTTTGGCAGAAACTGGAATTTGTGCTTTAATTTAATAAACATAATACATAAACAGCTGGAGTTCAAATAATGGCAGAGGAACTGAACTACGTCTGTATTTCTCACTAATTCTCACAGTGTAGTGTGGCAGCAGTATAGCTTTTTTACAGAACTTTAGAGAAGGGATAATGCAAGATAGGATACTTTTATAATTCAAATATAACTGAATGTATTATAATTTCTATATTTGAAACACAGGATAGTTTGCTTACAGAAACAGAGTTCGTAACAAAAGAATTTGCTCGCCGGGAAACAGTATCTGAAAATACTTCCCTTTCAAAACCAATTCAGTGATATTTATTTTAGTACATTCCAATATAAAAAAAAAATTGCAGCAGAGCAACACTAGCTCTGAGTTCCTATCTCCAATTTACATTGGTGTAAGTTTCAAGTCTCTCATTTCACACTCTATATACAATATAACCTTTCAATCTCCTTCCTCCCGCAGTAACAGCCATTATCCCTTGTCTTGTCTTTCTCCACTTCAGAATAAGGTCATTCCAACATGTAGGTCTAACAAGAAATGCAATGTATTTTCATTGATTTGTATTGTCACTGATTACCCCTTTGTGTTATGTAGTGATCTGTATAGTAAAGGACATTCTATGTTGTCATGCAAAGCTAGTCTTAAGGAACAGATTCTGCACCCCAGGCTCTCTCAGTTTATTTATAAGGTCTTGTTTTTTAGAAAATGGGATTTCTAACAATAGCCTTGAAATTATTTACCATTTTTAATCAATTACCAGAACTGAATATTTGGCACTAGTCTAGATTTTTTTCACTGTTTTCCTGCAGAGACTACTGGTTTTTCATAGTCTTGTTCAGAGATTGGACCCTGCAAGTTCAGGAAAATGAGAACATTTTGTCACTTGAATATTTTAAACAGAATATTTTAAACTCACTCCATCCTGGTAGGTAGAGAATCTGTACAAGTGTGTAAGAGGACCATCACCACCATCTTTATTGCCTTTTTATTGCAAAAATGGCCACTTAGAAGAGGACCATGAAGTGGAAAACAATTGCTGAGTATCATTTCTTGGCATTTTTTTCCATGTTCAATTTTTCATGTATTCTGATGTGCTACATCCTCTGAAAAAAAAAAAAAGAAGGAACTGAATTCCACTTCTGGGATGGGGCAGTAAGAGTAAGTTAATGATTGCCTCTCACCCAATTCCCATTACCTCTATTTGGGATGACACCTATCCCAGTAGACTTTCTCAGGATTTGCTAGATATCCATGTCCATAGAGGTGTGTTTGTGACAGAGATTAAGTTCTTAAAAGTTAAGTAATAAGAAAGCATATGTAGGGCAATCTGAAAATGCGCATTTAATGTAGGATAAAACAAGTAGCTTTTCTATATTTGATTAGCAATTAATAAAGTTTCTACTTTATTCTCCCAGAATACTGCAAAACTAGTCCTTCATTACCAGTAAAGATTTTAAATTGAAAATAAACTGCAGTAGATTTATTATGTATCTGTACTGTGTACTATTTTCTATATTGTGCCTTGTACCTGTTAGGTCAGCTTCTGCAGAATGTACTTTTTTGAGACTTAAACTGATCAATACCTACTCAAGGTCTTCAAAGCCTCTTTGGATTTGCAGTTGATATCAGTATAACAGGGACCAAAAAATGCTTAAGTACTACAGTGAGATGGATGAATACATACAGAAAAGAAATCGGAGAGATCCATCTGAAACTCTATGCTGTCTGAGTTTGAGTTGCTGTAATTGTTCACAAATACTGAAGACAGAAATTGGGTTTAAAAACAAAAATAGTTGATTTATGGAGGGATCATATTTCTGATGTACAAGAACTGGGTTGTATTCAGGATTCGTAGAGTATGATGTTGATGGAGTTTATAATCCTTAGTACAGGAGGGCCTTATATTTGTGAGGAAGAAATAGTGGATTATTATTCATTCTTCTTCCTATATTTACATACTCTTTCCATCCTGTTTTTCCTTTCCCCCAGTATTCTATTTCATCTTTCTTTTTCTTCTCCTGTTTTCTGTATACATTATTGATTTGCCTATTTACAAATATTTTTGCAAGTGAACAGAGAATGAGAGATCTGAGAAAAGCTGCTGCCTTTATTTTTCCAATTTCTTATTTTAAAATATAGAGGAAATTATAGGGAGGCAAATAAGAAAAGGCAAGAAAACAAAATCTCAATTATTGGGATAGTTGTGCTATTTGAGAAATAACATGTGTTCTTATAGTTCAGAGCTGAATTTTAATTCATATGTGTGATATTCCAGAGTTTAGGCTACATGTGAATTCCCTCTTTTTGGAGTACTGGGGTGGGAGGTTGTCTACAAAATTTCAACAACAGCCAAAAAAACACCAAACCCCCAACCTAAACCCCACCCAAAACCTGTAGAAAAAGCAAGAATTACTTTTCTTGATTTACAAACCCACCCTGAAAATTGGGGAAATATTTTACTTCACGTTTTCCACAAGATTTCCTCTCTAGGCTTAAAACAGTCACAGATTTTAGTTTCTAGATCTAATTGTTTTAGAAATTTACTGGTCACTGACAACAGTGCTTTAGACTGAATGTATCATGTCAACTATAACTAAAATAAAAACAATGAGTGGATAACTCATTGGGAAGAATACATCAAAAGAACAAATTAATAGCCTTATGTGGACAATACAAAATACTCAGCTGGAAGACTATTCTTACTGATGAAGAATCCTTCCAAAAAAAAGAAAAAAGAAATTTGTTCAGGACCCCCTGTATACTGTAGAAATGAACTGTTTATCAACTCAGAGGAAAATGGATGTGGGGGTGTAAGGGAAACAGGAAGGTGATGATGTTTGTTTATTTGCTGCCTTTGGTCATTTCTGAGTTATATAAACAGCAGTTTTAATTACAGTTTCTGAGAAGGCAGAAAAGTCTTATCGCTTTCTCAGACCTTAACATTGTACTCTAACTGGACAGATCCAGCTAGTTAATCTTCTATTCAGGTAATGTTTCTTCATTGTGGTTTAATTTTCCACTATTTTAAAGTATATATGAAAGCGTTGAATTATATTTATTTACACACTTAAAGACCTGCATGGATTAACTGGAATTTTTATCTTTTACCTCCTTTGAAAATTACTAATAATTTCTGTATTTTCTGTTTTTTTGTTTTGTTTGTTTGGGTTTTTAATTTCTCAAAAACATTTTGGGGTTTACTGAAAAACATAACTAATCTCACTGTAAGAAGCACCTGAAAGAGAAAACTATAAATGTTTGAATGAGAAATTTTAAAAGGAAATTGAATTTCTAAATGGCCTCCATTATTACTCAGCAAAAATTGCACCAAGGCAAGGCATAACCAAATATAGGAAACTGCTGGTTTATAAAGACATTCCAGCTTTCCTTCAGACTTTCCCTACTGACATTCTTCAGTGCCTGTTTCCCTTCACTTGGTTGCACTTTTCCTACATTTTGCAGATTACCCTTCTTCTCTCTAGACATTTCACTACTTTCTCTTTATGGCTGCTGTTGATTGGCAACTGTCAAGCTGTCAGCAGACAAACAAACTTTTCAATTCCTGGCTTCCCACAGCAGAAAATACAGGAGAGTCGCATTTTCTTGCCATAGCACCAAATAGTTAAGCAGGCATTCCATTCCTAATGGAAATAAAAGTATGTAGTTACACTGCAGTTTTGAAGCATTGTCAGAATTTGTAATGCTTTTTTCTTTTGATGAAGTATATTAAAAGAAAACAATAGCATATTGGTCACAAAGTGCTTTTGAACTTACTCTACCCTCTGTTGTTTGTACTATTCCTAGGGGCAAGTGTGGCAAACAGCAGATTTTATCCTTGTATCATCTGGTTCTCTGAGCCTCAGAAGCATACTGATTACCACAGCTGCAATAAATAAAGTGTCTATTCAATCAGTTATAATGTCAAATATTATTCAACATTCTGACCAGACACAGCGTCTAATGGAAAACAGTACATCTCACTTATTGCCTTTTTCGTTGCAATTAAAATTGCTGAGTAATCAGTGTGCACCAGAAAGCAGAATGTGAATAATGCCAATTTGCTTGGGTTTATTTACACTTACTATTTGAAAGAAAAATGCCTGTAGCAATATGGCTTTCATTAATTAGGAAGCACAGGCAAATTGTCAACAATATCAGTCTTGAAGCCTGTAAGAAATGTAATTTTATATATCTACCTGTTCTATTAGTGCTTAGTTCCTAATATCTTTTTTATTCTTGTCCAGATATTTTTAAGCAGGATTTGATTGTCTATGCATCTCATGGAATATATAACAGTTTCTCTGATAGAAACCTAAATAGTTAATTTCTGGCATTTGGGATTATGGTGTACTTTTTCTCTGACTTAATGGTTCAGCCTTTTTCACTATCATGCAAGGAGAAAAATGATTATATGAATCATTTGGTTAAAATTGTTGCTGTCCAAAAGTATTTGTTTTAAATGTATTCTTTCTGATTTTTTTTAAATGTTGTATTTTGTTTTTTCTCCTCTTTGTTTTCTTTTTCTAGACTGAGGTTCAGCTATGCTATCTGGAAGCACAAAGAGATGCTGTTGAACAGATGTCCTTAAAACTGTACAGTGAGCAGTACAACAGTAGTAGCAAGCGAAAGGAAGAGTTTGCTGATATGTCAAAAGTTCACACAGTGGGAAGTAATGGGTAGGGAACTATTCTTTTTGTTGTTTTATTCTCACTGATCTGTGGTTTTTTTTACATGATATACTTTTTCTTACTTCTAGTTAACTAGGATTTTTCTTCCTAGGCCAAGAGGCAGGCAAAAACTCTCTATATATTTGCTTTTTTCATATATGAAAGCAAAAATAATGGGTTCTGGGTAATTTATCCAAATTATGGTTTGTTCGTAGGACTACCTAACATTATTTAATAGTAATCTATTATCTGGATTAAAAAAAATGTAATGTGTCCTTTTTTCTTTAGACTTTTCTCCTCCAGTGGCTTTAAACAATTTGATTTCTTAGCATCTTCCAAGAAAGAATCTTTATAGTGTATTCATACCTCTGCAAGACCTCTATTATAATTTTTCTTCTAGTGGCTAGGAAATATGAATATGAAGCCATTCACTTATAGTTCAAACATCCTAGTTTTGTACTTCAAGAAAGCATTAATTTTAACTGTTTTCCCTTGACTTGGTCATTTCAGTCTTTTTTTTTTTTACGTTAATGTAAACACATATATATTATATGTTTAAGTGTACATATAAAAGCACTCTTTCTTAATATTTTGAACAAAGAATGTTGGACAAATAAATCACTGGAATATGCTAAAATGACTTCTTGCTGCCCTCCCTTTTTCCCAATCAAGAAAACTTGTAGTTCTGGATTAAGACTTTTCTTTAAGGGCTTTTGAAAACAGTGTCTTCCAACTGTTAGCACCCCAAAATGAACACAAAAAACATACCTGTGAGATCATAATAGTGTAGGCCAAAAGCAGTTCAAAGGAGCCAACTAGTGCTCATTGTTTGGGTAAACCCTCATCCTGATAAAAGTTTCCTATTAAATACAGTAGTAAATTTTGCCTGCAGTTTCCTATGCAAGGAAAGTCATTGACCAAGGTGTTCATGAGTTCCTTATCTCCAGAACTTCATTTTCTGATTGTTAACTCAATGTTCAGGTCTTGGAAACACAGTTTTATTAAATTACCGACTGTAAAGATAAATGAGCCTTGTAAACATCCCCTCTTATTATACAGAAAGATGACTGTTTTAGAAAAATTGATGTGGGCTAATTATGTAGGATTACTGAGATCTTGATTACATATGCAGAAATCTGTCAGATTCTCAAACACGCCGGTGCAGCTAGTGCCAACCATAAAAATAATTTGTTCAGAATTGGTGTGTATATGTATATAAATGTGCTCTGAGGGCTACATGTTCAAAACTAGCATCTAATTTTGCAGCCACCATTGAATGTGAACAAGACTTAAGGCTGGAATATTGCGGAGGATGTCAGCCAGTAACACATCAACAGACTTTTGATTTTCCTGAGTGTAGGGGATATAGAACTTTAAGCTTCGTGAAGAAATCCAGTTTGTAACTCCACGTACCATATGTGATAAGTAAATAGGTCCTTAAATGCACTTGTTTACACTTGTAATTACATGCTTAGGACTGGGAATGGTCATCTGCTAGTGTTACCTACCTTTTCTGTGCTGTGGCCACCTTTCTGGGCCCTTCTGGCCATCCCAGCCCTTAGAGACTCAACAGTGACTTCAGGGGCCAAAGGGCTGGAGTCAGACCACTAGAGTATCACATATTCAACCATTGTAGAAACTAGGGGAGATTGAATTCAGATGCAAAACTTCCAGTTGAACAAATCTGAGGTGCTGTATCGAGCACAGTGGAAATGCCTTTCAGCTATTTGAAAATAGATTTGATACAAAATTTCCCTACTGCATAAAAACCATGGACAGAAACTCCACGGTAGGATGACGTAGCTAGAGACCGTGAGCTCTACAGAGAAGGGGCCATTTGCATAAGTGGGAAAATTAGCTGTTGTCAAAGATTGACCGTGGAGAAAGAAGAGTGTCCAAAGGGAGAACAAGAGATATTGTAGATAAAAAATTTTTTATATGACATGGGTATGTGTGTGTGTATGAGATTTGGGAGAGGTGACTTTGTGTAGGAAAAAGCTAACCTCAGATAGGTGGGGTAGTATTTGCAGAATAGGGTGATGCTAGTGGGTGCATAAACCCCAGATTTCCTGCAAAACAGTGATCTTGTTAAAGTGGCGATACAGAGGGTTTATGTGTATCTGCATGAAAATGGCTAAAGTGACAATGGAAGAGAAGAAAATTAATATCCACTGCAGGAGAACACCAGCAAGCCGGGCAGCAAGAGGCAGTCAAGAGTAGTTGAGAGCAGGTGCCAAATGTTACAGTAGATCTGGCTGGAAATATTGCATCCCCTCAAAACCGGGGAGGAGTTCGTACAGGTACTATTGGGAGATATGGATACAATTATTTACAGCACCATTGCACAACATGAAGGCCAGATCCTGAGTCTATCATCAACTAGTATTGGACCTTCATGGATGAGGCTTTGAGAGAAATGCATTATAGGGGGCTTCAAGTATGCTCAGAATATAAGGCAATTTTAAAACTGTTAAGGTCAAAACCCCAATTTCTTCTATATCTTCCTAATAAAAACATGTGAGAAGAGTTCCAGAAAATTATGAGCCAGAAACTTGATGGAACTTTTTGTCTGGCTGAATTTTTTTGGTAGGCATACCAGTGTGTTTACAGTACTTCTAAATGCCATGTGAGTTATGCCATCAAAGAAATACTACAAGCTGCAAGTGCATGTTAAACACAGAGAAAGAGGCTGATGAAAATAGCTTCACATTCCTTTTTATTTATTAATGCCACAGACGAACTGGTTTTCTCATGAGAAAGGTGCTCATGAATTTTCATTCAAAATAATAAATTGATGTCCACATTTTAAGAAATATGTTTAGGGTTCAAGGGATTAGACATACAACTCTGCATATCTGATTCCCTGTTCATCAAGACAAAATATACTTCTTAGTGTCATTTTAGTTATTACATAGCTAATGATTTTATCTTATCAACCAAAAAACCTATATTAAGGAAGCTGTATTTACCTGACATTTAACTAATATTATAGCATTTTTGTTGGCAATCTTTGGGTACTTTTAATGGAGGATTTATTGTTTCTATAAACAGATGACCTAATTTATTTCTTTTTTAGCAATTGGTGGATTTGGATAATCAACCAAAATTAGATCTTTGCTGTGGTTCTTGCAGCTGTAACACATATCAGTATTGCAGAAGTTATGCTTTCCCTGGTTCTGCCTGTGGCAAAATAAAAAAAATAAATCTACTAAGCTCAGAAACAGTAGATTCTGAATAAAAATCTATCACAAAAATACTGACAGGTACATTTGAATCTTAACCTCTCACTGATCCTACAATTTCTGGATTTTCTGAATATCTTTTTAACAGCTTAGTAACTTGCATCCTCTTCCAAATAGTAATTTAATAGCAGTCACTAAATTCATCCTTTCAGATGCAAGACATTACTTTTAGAAACAAAGCTGCTTTTTATATATATATTGGAGATACTTTAAAACCATTAAAAATATTGCATTCATATTAAAAAATATATTGATGATGCTTTGTAGGCTGACTACACTATCTTCAGACTCAGGCAAATAACTGCCATAGATAGTTTGCTTAAAAATGCTCCCAGATTACTTTATTTTACATCATTTAAGAAAAAAAGAAAAAAAGGAGAGAATAAGCACAATACGTAAATTATGGGGAAAAAAAATTCCCCACTGTATCTTGTATCCTTTCCTGGTTTTTTTCCAGTGAATCTTGTTTGTCTCACCCTTTGTTTTGGGTTGAGTTCTTGTTTAGAACATAAGTTTGAAATCAAAACGTTCAGCTGTTTTCTAGTGCTTATCTAGGTTTTATAAAGGTCAAAAAAAAGTGCTTTTCTGTTTCTTTAAAGAATTGGTTCATTCTATTACACTAAGAGATGGACTAATTTGGACTGTAACTAAGATGTGGTTCTTTAGACACAAAGCAGGTATTTGGATCCAGCACATCTTCTGCCTATTATAGTAAAATCCAAGTCCATTTCCTCATGCAGTTTCCAAAGGCATCCCATCCCATTCTGGGCAAGAGGTCATGAATGATGGATGTAGGCTTTGTTTCACATCATCTTCATGTCTTAATTTAGGTATTTCATTGGTACAAACCATCCAAGTCCATCTGAATCTGTACTGATTTATATGATATGAAATCTAGCATCTTACGTCATAAAACATATGTTTTAATAACTGCCTGTCAGTTTTATGACTTTGAATAATTTGGATAAGATGGAAGGGAAGAAAAGGAGCAGTAGGTACTGAAGACGCAGAATGATTATACTGCTTTCTGGGGAAGGGATAAAGATTCAGTATCACTGCCAAATATGCCATTCAAGATGGACTTTAGTTTTATGTTAGTTTCAAAATGATATCTGAGTCAAATACAGGAGAAAGGCCCTGAACTCCAAATCAAACCATTATATTTCAACAATGGTAACTTGTCGTTTGATGCTTGCTCTTCTTTCTTTATAGTAACATTGCGTACCTTCTCAGGGCAGCAGACAGCTTTAAGTTGGTGCATCTCATAAATTATTGAGTAAAAGTACACTAAGTACAGTGGATTAAACTAGAGAGTTACTTCAGAAGCAGGAATCAGCACTTGTGCATTATACAATACTTTCTTTGTTGTCAATTCATTGAAAGTAATACCACAGAAGGCAAATGCTTTCTTCTCTCTTGCCTGCTTTCTTGCAGAAAGACGGTTCTACTTGTCACAACTTTATCTACAGACTTTCAAAATTACCATGCATATGGTACTCTAGTTAATGCCTGAAACTGTGATAGTACTAATAATATTAAAAACATGTTTATTGTTTCTCTGTTGAAACACTGCTAATTTTTTTAATGGGGTTGCCAAAAAGTTGGTAATAATTGGACAAATTAGCTTTAGTGGAACATGCACTATTCTTCAGTCAATATAGGAATTTTTTGATACTACTGGCAAAGCTTTTGCTATTTCAAATTTTGTAAGTTTGAAGATCCCCTTTCAAGAAGTATCTTTTTGACGGATGTGCAGTTTTTCACCATATACCGTCTGTCTTGTATCCCAGTGTTTTAGACGAATCTATGCCTTACTTATTCACTAGGCTTTCAATAGAGAATCACATTAATCCTTTTAAGCTCCTTATTCTAATGATTTATTTTGTTGAAAACCGTAGTGATCCTCCTTTGAATTTTAATGATTGCTGGCTATTCAAGGATTCATTGTTTTGACTTCCTGTCCTTACCTTTGTTTCTTACATGTCTGTAGGGAACACCTGTCTAATACTGTATCTGGCCTTAGTTCTCACTGGCTTACCATATTCACTCAAGCCTATCTTAAGGAGTTAAGTTGAAATGCTAGCTACTCATCCATGAAAATAAATGTAGGATATTTACAGACATAGGCAGATAGACAGCAGAGGGATGGCTGAATGAATTTAGTAATTTTTAAATGTAAATAATATTTTCATATGAATTATATCAAGACAATTGCTGCAAAATTAGCTCAATATAAAATCAGCAATATAAAACCGTTAAACAGCATCTATGGGGGATTTGTATTTCGAAATTTTTGAAGCAAATGCAGTATGCCAACAATTGTCAGGATTTGGCATCAGCCACTGAATTTAGGTCATAGCACTGGCTTAAATTGGATTTCAGTTTTCATTTTTATCCACTCTGTATAAATACAGAATGTCTCTTTAGAAATATAACTTGGAACATCATGAGTTTTCAAGAATATATTATTCTAATACAAGATTTTAACAACTACACAGTATTTATGCATAATACATTTTGTTCCTTATCTACAGCCTTTTGGACTTTGATTCAGAATACCAGGAGCTCTGGGATTGGCTGATTGACATGGAATCCATTGTGATGGACAGCCATGACCTGATGATGTCAGAGGAGCAGCAGCAGCATCTTTACAAGGTTAGCGCTACCATAACTGCCTTTACCTAGCTATAGAAGATCTGATTAGCTTGACAAGTCTTTCTCTCACAGGATATCGCTGCGTTCATTGTATGTATCATGGTGTCTATTAGAATTCCCTTCCCTGTCCCCAACCTCATTTCCATCCCCTGTGCGCTGACAGGCTGCACCGACATCATAATTGCAAGAAAGTTCCCTTTATCACATTCTATTTGGTGTAATTCTATAGAAGGACAAAGATTTGTCTTCAAGATGAATAGAAATAAATGAAACTGCATTAATAAATAGAGTGAAACAAAATGAAGGAAAAAATGAAATGGGAACATTTAACAAAATGTGTTTTGATTGGAGCTTTCAGCCGGATTTTTATCCACCTTTCAGACCTCATCTGGAAAGAAAGACATTTGCCTTGATTTTGGTTTGCTGCTGCCAGGATACAGGACTCTTCCAATTTAATTTTTATTAGTTATACATAAAGTAGACATTGTCATGGTAACTCTTCACACTTGGTTGTGATTTGAAGAACATGATTATGAACTTGCAGGGTGAACTTATAGGGTCTAATTCTAACATACAGAAAACACACACACACACACATGGTTTCTCTTATTTGCTATAGCAACCTTAACCCAGAAGCTTTATCACTTCTTTAAGATAGACAGTACTTTTAAGAACTTCCTCAAAACGTGTGATTTGATCCTAAAATTGATTCAGGCTTCACTGTGTGTCTGAGAAGCGGTAGTCTACGGGCTGAGGGGTGGTGGAGGAAAGAAAGGAGGGGCTTTCGACAGAAATATCAGGCTGCAGTAAATCTTCCTCATTTAGGCAATTTTTATTGGAGTAATTCTGACAGTTGTCATCCTTGAATTGCTTTGAGCATATGGCATATTTCAAAGAGCAGATTGTGAATCATAAAAAATAAAATTAATAACTAACCAAAGAATCAGCAACACTATAATGACAAGAAACAACTACCCTCTAGCTTATTTTTATTTCTTATCAAATAAATGGTACATTCAAGGTCAAATAGAAGTTGTTTTCTTTCTTCTATGATTGCATGATTTGATAATTTCTTAAATATAATATATTTTTTCTTGCTTTGGCATCCTAATTTCTTGATGGTCTTCTTGAATTTTATTCTTTCTTATTTTGACACTTTTATTTAAAATACCCAGTGAGAAAGGGTTGTCACCTGAGTTAAAATATGTTTATAAGTGTAAATATAGTTCAGATCCTAACTATTTTAGCTTGCAAGTGAGTTTAATTCACTAGCCTCCATTTCTTGCTTTGGCAATTATTTCTTATTTTTGCTAATGTCTTTTTCCTAACTTTCTAAGTGCTTCATCAGACCTAATCATGCATTAACAATCCTGGCCTTGGCTGGGCTCAGAAATAAAAAATGTCAGAAATGGGTAAAAAGTTCCTTGTGAACCTAAAATAAGGTTTTTTCGTAGTGCCAGTCTATATAAGGCCAGCTTGTACCATGCTTAATTTAACAACTAGTTTTAGTCCCATACTAAAAAAATAAATAAATCAGTAAACAAAAATATTAAGGCAAAAATTCATCCATCAATACCAAAAGGAACAAAGCTTAAGCAGCCAGCCCAAGTATTTTAGGTGTTACTTCTCTTTCTCATATCCAAATGTAACCATTAAGAAGAATTATAGATAGTAAGGCAACGATAATAATGCATGATGAGAAGAGTAATAGAGAGAAATAATTTATTAATGTATGCAGTACAGTATGGTGGCAAAATGGGGAGTATTGTATATGCAAAATAAGAAGTAATAATTTCTTAATATTATGAAAATCTGTATTATGATATGTACGACACTTGTAAAAGCAGAAACTTTGTGTGAGCTAGAGTAGCTGAGTCTGCAGGCTGAGCAGCACAGATGAACCAGCACTGATTCCAAAGCACAGGCAGCTTATTTGTCCTGCAATTTCCATCATAAGGTCATCTGGCACTGTACCAGATTTGAGCCTCTATCTCAAAACTACCTATCTGGTACTTTGTCACTGCAAAACCACTTGAAGAAGGGTGGGAACAGACTCCTTGCCCTCCTGTGGTGAATATTCGCTGCATATACCCTTCTAGTAAAAACAGCAAGCAAATTGTTAAGGATTGAGTAGAAGACTTAAGTAGAAATGTCGAGTTTGTCTGAGATCACTAAGGAGTATTTTCAGGTAACGTAAAAATCTTAAGTGCGTTGCATTAAGAATGATCAGTCTTTCCAAAAAACAACACCCCCCAGGCACTCCCCAAAATGAACCACCTCCTGAAGAAGTGTTGAAAGCCCCATAATGTCAGACATTTAAAAGTAGACAAAAGACAACATTAGCAAATGCAATTGAAGGAACAATTCTGCTCTAGCAAAGGAAAGATCAGATAAATCACTAGGTCTTTATCATCTTTAATTTCAGAGATTCGTGTAACAATGAATCATGCCCTCATAACCAGTATTAATCGTTTTATAAAACTAGCCTAGTAAACCTCTCTTCTAATCAATGGTGACACCTGTTTTATTTCGGGGCTTTTTTACAGAGTCGTGGATGGTCTATTGCTCACAGCTCAGAGGCATGAGCACTGCCTGCACTTCCCAGAGAGCACAGTCGTTCTGCTCTGTAGGGAGAGATGACAGTACAGAGAAATCCAGGCAGCTATTATTGTCAGAATTCCTCAATAAGGAGTGGGGTGTTATGAAAATACAGGTCTTCCTTTTCTTTATCAATTACAACTTCAAATGTGAACCTGCTAATTGCACTCTCTTCATTTTGGTGGATTCTCCTAAACCCACGGATCTCTCTTCTCACTTCCTGAGGTGAAAAGTAATTGCTGCTCAGAGCCAGCTCAGCAAGCTGTCTCTGCCAGGGAACCTACTGTGGTATCACTATTACCAACAGTAATCATTGCCCCTAAGGAGCCTATGAATGGGAAGGAGCAATGATAAAACAGGTAATTCAAAAGGGAAAAGCATACATTAAAGCAGCATAACACCATATATAAATGCTAAAATTGTATATGGGAAAATGAAATGTATTTTCACGGTTAGAGTATTTTTCACAGTACTCTATTTTCAGAGTCCATATGCATTTAAGTCAACTCTCAGCTTAATTTTATTCTATAATATTCCAGGAACTTCATAGTTTTTTTTACTAGGATCCTTATTATCTCTCTTTAACTAGGTTTTCTTTTGCCCTAAATACAATAGGAACAGCACAGCCACAACTTTTTGTAATGCTGAATACATGTGTATTAATTTCTCTAGATTTCCTAGATTTCAGTGCAAAAATTTAAAAAAAAGACAGCATAGTCCTAAATGATTTCTACTTTACAGTCCTAAACTACCTAATGATTTTGAAAATCGGCTAGTGTTTGAAAAAATGGCAGTCACGGAATGAATTTATTCGAGTTTATTTGTTCTCTAATGCTTTAACTATTAACTAAGAAGAAACTAAAAGGAACATTTCCATGTTTTTCGACTCTTGCTTCTTTGTACTTCTGTAATAGCTCAGTTTAATGGCAAATGTATCATGTTTATTTCATTTTAATCTACTGCATGTGAGCCTGATCTCATAAGCTCTAAGTACACAAAACTTGCATTGATTTCAACTGTATTCATATGCTGTTACTGGAGGATCAAACCCAAAGAATTTAAACTCTGCTAATTAGCCCTTTAGTGAGAACTTGAGTAACTCTTTAACTTGAATGTTCAAAAATGAAGCAAATCAGTATTTACTGGAACTGTGGAGATTAGAAATGAGTATACTAGGCAGAAAAGTTAATGATAATTCTTTCAATTTTCCTCAGAGGATTAATTGCAAAACTTAATTGTGTTAGATTAAAACCCCATTTAAATAAATAAAATATGATTGTTAAAATTGTTAGTATGCTCAGAATAGAATTAACTAAACATTTGAAAATAGCAAATAAAAGAAATATTTTTTTTCTGCCACATTACAAGCAATGTATGGTGGTTTTAACACAAACTGTATAAGCTGAAAGTTATGTACTAGTAAGTCTTCAGCAACAATAGTCATGATAGATGGAAAAAGGTCCTTATGTAAAGTGCAAAAATTTTGAAAACATTTAGTTGGTACAGCTTTTGAACAGGTTAGCTGCTGCACTCTTTCATCAAAGGGAAGCAGTCCAATGTATTAAATAACACAAAAATGCACATCAAAAACTAAGGATACATTTCAAAAAAAGTTGGGGGAAAAAAATCTCCCAGCAGTTTTTGCTTCCCGGCTGGAAGCTCTATCCCTGCTCGGAAGGTGCAGTTAATTTCCTCCTCTGGGTGTGCTGCTGCTCCATTGTGCCTTTCTCCCTGGCTCAGTGTGCTGGGGCCCGGAGTGGATCAAACAAACCGTGGTGAAAGTTTCCCTCATTTGCATCACTTCTAGACAGCCCTGTCGTACTCTTTGCTGACAGGAAATCACTGTCTTTGTCACCTTTTTTCAGTGATCTCCTTTTGGCAGAGATTGGCCATGTGACCAGGATTAATCACAACAACAGTTCTGGCTCAGAACTCAATGACATGTTTTCCTCAGCACTTCAATAATGGTGTAGAGGAGTCAGTAGGAAATGACTACATTAATTTCAGAGTGAAAAGATAATTAACACTTAAGGACTAGTGCTATAACCTATGGAGCTATTATTCAAATTAAAACTAATTCATTGCAAACTTGTGAAAAAGAAAAAAAAACACAAAAAAATGCTCTTTAATGCAACTGTTAAAATAATCTTGCAAGAGACTCTGAGTTTAAAAAGAAGCATAAACTATTTTTAACGCAGTAATATAAATACATAAAAACTTCAACATTTGAAACTGGAGTCTAAAGTATGTAAAGTGCTTACTTAGATGATATGAATAGGATACTGGCAAACAAAAGCAGCAGTGTGCTCCTAGAATGCTGTGCTTCAAGGAGTTTCCTTGGCAACAGAAATGCAGTTCCAAAAGTAGACAGAACTTTCCTCAGAAAACATACTATTAATAAC